AAGGAGATCTGGCTTGAGCTAAGTAGCAGATTGAACAATGGCTTGTGTATAACTCCATACGTAAACAAAACCTGTCTGCTTATAGGAATGGAGGAAGGCTGTCAAATAGGAGAGAAGATGAAAACACAGCTTTTTATTAAAAGATGTCATGTATTTTTGTAAGCATGGAAGTATTTTATAAAAATAGTAAGTGATCTAGTAATTTTACCTTATAAAAGACAAAAAATTCAAAAAATAAAGAAATATGAAAAACACAGTATTTTACACATATGGAGAAATGCAAACAAGGCCCACAGGCCATATTCTACATTCATTTATTCAATGGTATTACTCCTGCCAAACAATATTTATCAGGGGCAGAATTTGGTTTCAAATACTGTATTTACTCAAATCCAAGACAAGGTTTTTTTTCATTCAACACTACAGGGTAGGAGGGGAGGAAAAGGCTTGTCTTGGATTGGATTACCAACTCTGGGCAGGTGGCAGCTCTGGCCCCAACCCAACCCTGACCACCACTCTGGGCCCAGTGCCAGAGCTGCAGCTGCTACAGCTGCTGCCACTGTCTGACCAGGCCTCTGGGGCCAGAGCCATTGGATATAGCACTTTATATGGGGTGAGCCATGCCAGAAGGGCAAACAGTCAGTTGGGTGGGTGGAGAAATAGGTGAAAAGGGGCCAGGGTTGCAGGTGTTTGGGGAGACTAAAGGGGAAGGGGTCAAGCCATCTGCCTTCCCACTGCTGCTTTCTCTGTAGACTGAGCCCTTGGCTGCTGCTTTCCTGGCTGTAGTGGGGGGGAAAGGGAGAGGGGGAGGAACAACAAATTTAAGATAACTCTCCAGTAATTAGATTGTATATGTGGAAATTTATAACAAAAGTATCATTTTCCATGTACAGAATCTAAGTCTGGGGGGCGCATCTTAAATTCAAAGTCATCTTGGATTTGGGAAAATACAGTATTATGCTTCATTTGCATACTTACTTGCCTCTTCAAAATAATCTTGACAACAGAGGCTCTATTAATGCCTTGCTAAAAGAGATACCGCTTTGCCAAATTTGGGTTTCTGGAAACATGAGCAAACAAATAAAAGGGTCCTCCAATTGCTCTTAATGGTTATTATACTTGTCCCATCTGATTGCTGATGAAGTTTCTGAATTGTCTACAGTTTGTTTTCCTAATATATAAATATAATGTTAGAGAAAAGTTGCCAATTTAAAAAAAAAAGTAAAACCAACAAACTGTTTAAACAAGTCATTTCAGAATCACAGCAAGTCAAAATTTGCAGAATTTTCCAAGGATGGTGGTAAAAAACAGCAAAAGGGATGGCAGAGGAAAAACAAACAACTGAACAATCCGTTAAAACATTAGTTTCCATATATATAAAGAAATAATTCAGGTACAACACACTCCAGTATTTTCTGGAGTTAAAACATCCAGTACAGTAAAATCTCTGTTATATAGCATCCCCGGGGTAAGGGGAATGTCGGTTACATAAAAACTCTGGTTATCTGAAATAACTTCGCAGGGTTTTCAGACGAGGAGGAGCAGGGACGGGGTTGGGGGGG